GCAACGCCATATTTGTATGATGTAACCGTTTCTCAGCAATGTAAGAAATTGTTTAAAATTTAGATTCTGAAAGTTTCACCAGCTAGTAGATGTATGAAAAATTTTAACTCAAAGAGTGTATTCAAATTATCTATCTCTGCAAACTAAAAATAAAATTTATGTCTTACTAAGAAGACCATCTGTTATTTTGTCAATTACTGCAAAATACATTACAATACATTTAACATTATGCTAATTACATTTTCTTATTTTTAAATTTAATGCAGTAGATGTCCTTTTAACTTGTTAGTATGGTGTCGGACCCTAGGTCAGATGACAGTTAAAGCAATAATAAGACCATTCAAAGCAAGTTATATGGAATACAATAAACATTACTGGTTTCCATACGAACCTAAAAAATATGTGTGTGCAGAGCAGAAAAGAAAATATCAAGTACTAAACACACACATTTAACACTGTATTTTGTCATCTAAATAACTGTTTAATACATCTTTTAAAATACACATTTAAAAAAGAAAATGTATTCTAAAAGGAATCGATTTTCTTAAATATAATTTTTTTGTGCCTACTGCTTTTTCTAACAGCAAAATCACTTAATATCTTTAAGAACATTGGATTCTTTCTGCTGCTCAGTATACAACATTGCCAGCTTCAATAAATGCTGCTTTTGTTCTAATCAGTTCACCTTTACCAGCAACTCCTGAATGATTTCATTGTCATGATTTCATCATTGCCATTTTTGAACCAGACATCACTTTCAATGTGCATTTGGTCAGTTTTCAGAAATCAGTAGGCAGAGTGGAATGCCTTCATAATCAGGCCACATCTTTATGCAGGGTGGCCACAATGTAAGAAAACAGAAACCTTCTCATATGGTTGACCTCAGCCTTCTAAAGATCAATTTCTAATTTGAAAATGGCAACACTTATGTTAAGGTACCACTATGCAATCCTGTTTTCATTTGCATTATTGATTAAGCAAATGATGAAATAAATCCACAGCATCTTCTGGCAGAATCACTTTACTTGTACAAAGCTATGAACACTTTTATTTCAAGAACATTTTTATATAAAGAAGCCTGAACTTTTATTAAAAAATTATACACTTTTACAAAGATGCCAATTAAGAAACTTCTTCCTTTAAATTATTTTTTTTAATACTGTCACATTTAGTATTCCTTGTGAACAATCTTGTTCCAAGGTTAGACTAATATTTCGTAAGCAACTTGACCTCATCTTTGTCATCATTTTAGAAATCAGTCCTACAAAATTCATAACCTATTACGTACATATGCTACGATATTTTCTTTTATTTATAAAAGCAACAACTAAGATTGTAGTTTTCTTAATAAAATTTTATTCTAATATCCCAAAATAATCAACAAATTTTGTATTTGTTCTTTCTATCATAACAATACTTGTCATTAAAAAAATATGCTTTAACTTCTGAAAGATGAGAACTAAGGAAAGTAATGCAAAACACAATTCTTCAGCAGAAAAAAATTGCAGTTTCTTAATTTTACATAAAATCTTAATTAACCCTCCCCCCCCCACACTCCACCCCCCCCCCACCCCACCCACCCCCCCCGCACCCCACACCCCCCCAACCACCCACCCCACCCCCCCCCCAACCCACCCCCAACCCACCCCCCCCACCCCACCCCCCCCCACCCACCCCCCCCCACCACCCCCCCCCCCACCGCCCACCCCCCCCACGCCCCCCCCCCCCCCCCCCCCCCCCCACCCCCCACCCCCAACCCCCCAACTCCCCCCTCCCCCCCCCCCCCCCCCCCCCCACCCCCCCCCCACCCCGCCCCACCCACCCCCCCATCCCCCCCCCCCCCACCCCCCTCCCCCCCCCCCACCCCCCCCCCCCCCCCCAACCCCCCCCCCTTACCAACCCCCCCACCCCCACCCCCCCCCCCCCCCCCCCCCCCCCCCCCCCCGACCCCCCCCTCGCCCCCACCCCCCCCCCCACGCCCCCCCCCCCCCCCCCCCCCCCCCCCCCCCCCCCCCCCACCACCCCCCCCCCACACCACACCCCCACCCGCCCGCCACACCCCCCCCCCCCCCCGCACCCCCCCCCCCCCCCCCACCCCACCCCCCCACCCCCCCCCCCCCGACCCCCCCCCACCCCCTCCGCCCCCCCCCCCCAACCAACACCCGACCCGCCCCCCCTCCCCACCCCCGCCCCCCCACCCCCCCCCCCTACCCCCAGCCCCGAAACCCCCTACACCCCCTACCCCCCAACCGCCCCACCCCCCCCCCCCCCAAATCTGCCGCTCCACCCCGCCCCTCCCCCCCCCCCCCCCACCCCCCCCACCCACCCCCCTCCCCGCCCCCCCCCCCCCCCCCCCCCCCCCCCCCCCCCCCCCCCTCCCGCCCCCCCTCCCCTCCCCCCCCCCCCAACCCCACCACCCCCCCCCCCTCACCCCCCTCCCCCCCCACCCCCCCCGCCGCCCCCCCCCACCACGTGGCCCCCCCAACCACTCCCCACACATCCCTCCACCCCGAACCCCACCCCCACCCCCCCCCCCCCCCCCCCGCCCACCACACACCCTCCCCCCCATACCCCCCGCCCCCCCCCCCCACCCCGCGCACAACCCACCCCCCCCACCCACCCGCCCCCACACACCCACCCCACCAGGCACCCCCACCCCCCCCCCAAGCCCATCCCTCCCCCCCCCATCCTCCCCCCCCCCCCACACCGCCCACCCCCCCAAGCCCAACCACCCACCCGGCCCCTCCGCCCCGCCAAGCGACCCCACAACACCAAGTCCCCCCACCCCCCCCCCACACCGCCCCCACAACCCACCCCCCAACCCCTACCCCCCCCCCCCCCCCCTCCCACCTCCCCCCCACCGACCCCCCCCCAACCCACACCCACCCCCCACCCCCCCCCCCCCCCCCCCAACGCCCGCCCCTCTCCCCCCCCGCCCCACAACCACCCCCACCACCCCCCAAACCCCCCCCACCCACCACCCCACCCCCCCCCACCTCCCACCCGACAGCCCCCCCACCACCCAGCAACCCCCCCGCGCCCGCCCCCACGCCCCCGTCCACACCGCTCCCCCACCCCACCCAACCCCCCGACTCCCCCCCACCACCGCCCCCACGCCTAGCCCCCCTCCCCGCCTCCCCCCGCCCCCCCCTCGGAGCCCCCCCCCACCCCCCCCCCGCCCGTCCCCCCCACCCCCCCCCCCACAGCCCCACCCCCGCCCCACCCCACCCGCCCCCCCCCCCCCTCTGCCCCCCCGCCACCCCCGCACCCCGCCCCCCCCACAGCCCCACCTCCACCCACTAACAACCAGCGCCCACACGCCCCCCGCCGCCTCCCACCCCGCGCGAGCCCAACCCCACACGCCCCAACGCCTCCGCCCCACGCATTGCGCGCAACCCGACCCAGCACCCCCCCCCCCCTCACCCCCACCCACCCCCACCTACCCGCACCCGGACACTCCCCGCCCCTCCCCCACACCCCCCCCACGACCACAACCAACCCCCCCGGGACGCCGGCCAGCCCCCCCCAACACCCCAAACACCCACTCCCCCCCAGACCCCCCCCCCCCCACCCCCCCATGCACCCCCCCCCCCCCCCCACGCCCCTCCGCGCCCAACCCCCCCCCCACCTCCCCGCGACCCCCCCCTCCGCCCCCACCCCCACCCGCACCTCCTCCCCCCACCCCCGCCCTCCACCCCCCCCCCCCCCCACGCCCGCCCCGCCAACCTCCCCCCCACCGCCGCCACCCTCCCCCCCACCAAACCCCCACCCACCCCCCACGACCCCGCTCCCCACCCCCTCCCCGTTCTCCATCACCCCACCCCCAAAGCCCGCCCCCCAAACCCACCGCCTCCCAAACCCCCACGCTCGACACCCGCCCTTCCCCGCCCCCCCCCCTCCCCACCCCCCCTCCCACCACCCCACCGCGACGCTCCTCCCCAACCATGCCGGCCCAACCCCCCACCCCCCCCCCCCCCCCCCACGCGCGCACCACCACGACCGCACCGCCCCCGGCCCCCCCCCGAGACCCCACCCCCACGCCCCGCACCCCCCCCCAACGTCCCCCCTCCGCACCTCACCCTGTAATTACCTCCCCCTCACCCCCAGCCCCCCCCCGCCCCCGCGCCCTCCCCCCGCCCCGACGCCCCCCCACCCCCCCACCCCCCCCCCACCGCTCCACCACCCGCCCGGCCCCCCCCCCCACCAGCCCCCCCCCCCCCCATGACGACACGGCCCAGCCCGCCCCCGCCCGACCCCCCCCACGCCCCAGTCACCCGAAATCGACCAACACCGCCAGACCAACGCCCCCCACCCAACCCACCTCCCGCCCGATCCCCCCCCCCCCTAAACCACCCCCCCCCGCCAACGCCCCCCCGCCGTGGCCCCACCCGCGGCCACCCCCCCACCGCGCCCCACCCCCATCCCTCACACCCCCCCCCCCCGCACCCTCCACCACCACACGGCCCCCCCCGCGCCGCCACCACCCCCCCTCCCCCCCGCCCACCACATCCCCCCCACAACCCCCGCCGCCCACACCACCCATCCTCCCCAGCACCCCCCCCCGCCCCCGCAACCACCTCTAAAGCACACCCCCCCGTCCCAACGCACCTCCCACCCGACGCCCCCCCACCCCCCCACCCCACTACCCCCGCCCGCCACCTCACCCGCCCCGACCCCCACCCCTCACCCACACCACAAGGCCCCCACCCCCCCCCCCCCGCGCCGTCCCGCCACGCCCCCCCCCCCCCACGGCCCCCCGCCCGCCCCCCACCCCCCACCCCCCCCCCGCCCCCCCCCCCCCCCCCCACCCGCCGCCCCTGTCCCCCCCCCAACCCCCACCCCGCCAGCACCTACACACACCCACCCCCACCCTCCCACCCACCCCCCCCCCCCCCCGCCCCCCCCCCCGCAACCCCCACCACCCACCCCAAACCCCCCCCCCCAACCCGGCACCCCCCACTCGCCCCCCACCCCCCCCCGCCATCCCCCACACCCCCACCCACCCCCCTCCCCACAAACCTGCCGCACCACCCCCCACACCCCCACTCCGCTCCCCCTCCACCGCCTCCCCCGTCCCCCCAAACCCCACACCACCTCACGCCCAACCCCCCCCCAACCCCCCCCCCCACCCCCCCCCCCGACACGCGGCTACCGCCCACGCCCCAGCAACCCCCCCACCCCCAGACCACCGCCCCACCCTTGCCGCAGACCACCCACCCCCACCAACACACACCCCCCTGCCCCCACTGGGCCCAACCTAACACGGACCACCCACCCAACCACCACCCTCATCCCCACGCTCCACACCGCCCCCTACAAAACCCAAACTCCCCCCCGGCGCCTCCACAAGCAGAAGCAGGCCGCCCCCCCCCAAAACCGCCCCTCGCACGTCCCACCCAGCGCCCCCCCCTCCCCACCCCCCCCCCTTCCACCAAGACCCCCCCTTCCCCCCCCAACCCACCCCCCCCCCCCCAAACCCACACCACAACCCCCCCCCCATCCCCACCCCCCCTACGCCGACGAGCCCCACCCCGACCCCCCCCACCCCCCCCCGGTTCCCCCCCCACCCCCGCCCACCACCCCCCCACCCCCGCCCGCCCCCGCCCCGCGCCCAACGACCGCCCACCCCCCCCGCCCACAGCACGCCCCTCACCGCCCCCCCTCCCCCCCCCCCCCCCCACCCACCCCCGCGGCCCCCGACACCATCTCCGCCCTCAACCCCCCCCGCCGACCCCACCCCACCCCCCCCGCCACCCCCCCCCCCGCACTCCCCCCAACCCCCCCCCACCCCCCTCCCCACCCCCCCACCAGAACCCACCCCCGCCCCCCCCCACCCCCGAAAGCGCCCACAACCGTTCGGTCCCCCCTGCCAGCCCTCCCAGCCCCCCGAACCGCCCCACCCAACACCCCCCGCCCCCCCCGGCCCCCCCCCTACGCCATCCCCTGCCCCCCCCACCCCCCCCCCCCCCCCGCCCACCCCGCAGCCCACCGATCCCCCCCCCCACCGACCCAACCCCCCCGACCGAAACCCCCCCCCCCACTCCTCCTCCCACCCACTCCCCCCCCCCCGCACACCCCACCCACCCCTACCGACTCCACCCAGCAAGCCACCAACGGACACCCCGCCCAACCTCCCCCCCACCCGCCCTCACCGAGCCCCCCGACCGCCACTCGCCCACGACCGCACCCAGGTCCACCCCACCCACCGACCCCCTAGCCACCCGCACACCACCCCAACCACACCCGGACCCCTTCCCCCCCCCCCAGCCACCCCCCCCCCAACCCCCCACCCCCCCCCCCCGCAACCCCGACACGTGCCCCTCTCCAACTCGGCGGCCCCCGCTCCCCCCTCACCCCCCCCCCCCCCTCCCCGACCAAACAACCCCCCCCGTCCCCCCCCCCCCCACCACGGTCCCCCGCCCCCCCCCCCTCCCCCTACGCCCCCCCCCCTGCCCGCACCCCAAAACGCCACCCCCACCCCGGCCACACCCCACGACACGCTCCGCAGCCGTCCACCCCCCCCCCCGCCCCCAACCCCCCAACAGTCCCCCCAACAACCCCGGCACCGCACACCACATCCACCCCCCCAGCCCCGGCCTCCAGCCCCCCCCCCCACCCCGCCCCCCCCCCCGCCCCCCACCCCCCACACCCACCCAACACCACACCTCCCCGCCCCCCGCCGCCCGCACCGACCCCGCCCAACACCCGGCGCCCGACCCCTCGGGCCCCCCCCCGCACCCCCGCCACACTCCCCCCCCCGCCCCAACTCCCCCCCAATCCCGCCCCCCCCCCCCCGCCTAAGCCCCCTCGAACCTGCACAACCCCCCCCCGCGCCCCCCCCCCGACCCGCCCCAAACCCCTCCCAACCCCCCCCCACCCGCCCCGCCCACCCCACCCGGCGCCACCCCCGGTGGCACCGAGCACCACGCCCCATCCACCCCACTGCCCCCCCCGTCACCCCCAGCCCCGGCTCCCCCCCCCCCCCCCTCCAGCCGGTCCCCGCGCCCGGCCCCCCCCAGGCCCCGCCCCCGCTCCCCCGCCCACCCGCCCCCCCCCCCCATCACAACCCCCCCCGCGGCTACCCCCCCCCACCCCACGCTCTGCCCCCCACCCCCCACACAGCCAACCCCCCCGCCAGGGGCCCCGCCCCCGGCAACCCCCCACGCCCCCACCCGCCTACCCCCGGCGGTCCGTGGCACACCCATCCCACCACCCGAATCCCCCCCCCCCCACCTCCAACCCCCCCCTGAATCCCCCACCCCCTCCCCCTCCGATACCCGCCTTATCCCGGCCCCTCCCCCCGGCGCCCCACCAAGCCGTCCCCGCCGACCCCCCCGCACCCCCGCAGCAGCAACCTCCTGACCGCACACACGCCGCGCCAACACTGCCCCACACCACCACCCCGCCCCCCACCCCCGCCCCCGCCACCCGACCCCCCACCCCCCACACTCCCACACGCATCACCCCGCCACGCGCACGCACCTCACACCCACCCAACTCCCTCCCGCCCCCCCCCCAACACCCCCTCCCTACCCGGCCCCAACCCCCCCCCCCCCTCCAGCCCGTACCCCGCCAGCTCGCCCCCCCCCCCCCACCCCCCCCCCCCCCCCCCCTCCTCACACCCCAATACCAGCAAACGACCACGCGCCCCGTGGACCCCCCCCCACCCCCTTCCCACTGCACCCCCCGTCCCCCACCCCCACCCGACCCCCCCACCCCCCCCCCCGCCCCAGCCCCCGCCCCCCAACCCCAACTCCCCCCCCCCCACGCCCCACCCCACTCGCCCGCCGCCCAACCCCTCCCCGCCCCCGCCCCCCCACACCGGCCCCCCCCTCCCACCCCACCCCACCCACGACACAAACACCACCCCCACGCGCACCCCACACCCCCCCACACCACAGCCCCCCCCCCCCCCGCCGGCGATTGTACGCGCCCCACCACCCCCCCACTCCCCCCTGATTCCCCACCCCACACCACGCCCCCCACCCACCCCCCCACCCCCCACCCGCACCGCTCCACCCCCCCCTCAACCCCCCCCAGACTCCACCCAACCCCCATCCCCACACCCCACCACGAACCCCCCAGCACACCGACGTCCCCCCCCCATGGACCCCCCCACCCCACCACCCCCCCCGCCGGTCCCCCCACAGCACGCCCCCCGACCACCCCCCCCAGTCCCCCCCACCTACCCCACGACACTCGCCCCCCCCCCACCCCAGCCCCCCCCCCCCACCCCCCCCCCCCCGGGCGGCCACCCCCAAGCCCGCAGCCCACTCCCCCCCACCCCCCCCCCAAACTCAACCACCCCCCACCCCACTCCCACACACAACCACGCCCCCCCCAGCCATCCCGCCCCCCCACCCAGCACCATCCCCTCCCGCCCCCCCTCGCCCCCACCCCCCACACACCACCACACCCCCACACCCACCCCCCACCACCCTATGACAAATAACTTAGGCTTTATACTACATTCTCATATACTAGCATAATATTTGAAATCCACCATAAATATTTAAAAAAATACTGAAAGCTTTCCTTAACAACCACCTTCCACACACCATCTTGATAAAAGTGACCAACCTGTGTGTGGGTATAAAGCAAACATTGATAGTGAACATACTCAAAGTCAGACATTTCTACATAACATTAAAATCATGTGAAAGATGGCCTTCTTAAAGAAGTCTGTATTAATTTTAATATAAATGCTGTCCTGTATGTAATTATAAACATCTAAATATCCATCTGAATTTGCTTAAATTCATATATTTAAAATGCTTAAAAATGATATATTTTATGAATATTAGTTTTGGTTTCTTTATCCACATAATTTAAAAACTGCAAAATTTTACACAACGATATCATTACCTGTAAATTTTAAACTGCTATCATAAAACACCTTAAAGAGCCTAAAATTATTTTTTTTTGAAATTCTTATCTTTTAAAATGCTTAAAAATGCAACAAATTAAGCACAGTGAAGAGGATTATAATAGTCATTCAGTATTAGTCAACGGAGTCACATTTGGGTAAAATTATTCTCTATTTCGGAAATTGAATAAAACCAAAAGATGACAGCATCATTTTGGAAGATCAGCAACACTGAAATAATGAAGTCACATCAATGCACATCTTCTTCAGAGAACCACAACATTTTTCTAGTTCATTTTAATCAACACAAAAGCTCTGTTACCTTTACAAAAGTTTAAATTTCTTTATGCTAATTACGAGCTAAGGTGTGGGTAACTTTATGCAAATTTATACCTTTTCATAAAGATACTTGCACTTTTGTGAAAGTGATATAATTCTGGATGAAGGTGCCCTAGATTTATTTCATTTCCTGCTTAATCCATTTAAAGCAGAAGAAAATCATACCTGCAAAGTTGTGACCTGTGAAGAAAGTGCTTGAATTCTCACAAAGGCTGCTTTTTTCCAATTAGAAACCAATCTTCATTATCATGTAGGCACTTTTATGTCAGGCTACCCTTTGGCTACTATCACACATCCGTTTGTTTCGGAAGCACAACTGTTTGGAACAATTTTTCTGCTTTGTCACAACAGCCAATCACCACAGATCCTTTTGGTGTTAACACAAAGGAAACTTGTTCTCCATTACAACCAAGCTGAGAGCTAATTGTTTGAAAATAAACAACTTGTAATTTTTTTCGAAAGGAAGGAAAAAATCATGCTTCTTTCTTTCAGTAGTAAACAAGGCAGAAAAATTGTCCGAAACAGTTGTTCGTGTGAAACAAATGTGTGTGTGATATTGGCCTTATGAAGAAATCTGTCTTTTCAAACAGCCACTGACTACAAAGGTGTAGGAACCTTTATAACAAGGCACTGTTATAAAGGTTACTTTATAAGGTATTTCTCCCACTTTCCTAGCATGCCTTCATGGTGTAGTGGTTCTGAACGCTGGGCCGGTATTCCAGAGTTCATCAAAATTTGATAAAATGCAGATTAAGACATTCTTTAAGGACTTAGCCATCTTTTCACTAATGCTGTATCATTTAACTGAAAAGTTTTAAGTCCATTCAATTGCTTGTTCTACATCTGGCAAAAGATTTCATTAAAAATTAACAAAATGCAGATTGAAACATTTCTCCATAGGTTTTAGCCATCAGGTAAATAATGCTATATCATTTAACTAGAGTGTTTAAGTCAGTATGTTTAACCATGTTTGAGTAGTGTCACTCAAAAGTGATTAAACATGCTAATGTCAATGAGCTATCCAATTAGAAAATTAATTATGTGAAATAATAAGAACTTGTAAATAATCACACATCAGATGTATGCCATAAAAGTCAACTGGAAGAAAAAGATCTTATGACTAAAAAAATATTGAAATGAGAAAAATAAATTTCTATCTCCCATTTTCTGGTTCCATTAAATTTTACATTACTCAGATGAATTTCATATAGTTAACGTATTATTACAAAAAAGGTAAAAAATTCTGTGACTGTAAAAACGTAATTATAACTTCTAAAAGAAATTTTAAAATAATAAATAGTTATGCAAAAAGTAGGATTGCGGTCGTGCTCTAAGTACTAAAAACTATAAAAACTTACTGTTTATGAAAAATAAAAATCATATTCTTCATAATTACATTCTTTTTTCTTTAGTAGTAACACAACTATTACAAATAATTTACAAAACACAGAAATTCATACAATTTATTAAAATCTGTTAGCACTTCTTGGTTCTATTCATTTGAGGTATTCATTTGATAATGAGGAGAAATAGGCCTAACAAGTTTTAAAAATCAACAAAATAGACAATAAATAGAGAAAATTTATATTTAATACAAAGATACAATACTACAGATTGATGTGAATGCAAAATAGTATAAATAATTAAAAAATTTAAATTAACAAATGAATGTCTAATTGTTAGAAGCAACAGATTAATTTACAAAAATCAGAATGCAAACACTATTGCCAGAAAATATTTTTATTGCTTAAATCTAATTAAAGCATGTATCATATAACGAGACCTAGACAAAGACAAATAACTGTAAATAAATGTACTTTCAAGTAATAGAAACTTTATTTATTATGTTTCATTTCAAGATGAGAACTGAAAAAGAAAGGAACTTAAAATTAGTTTCAAATTTAAAAAGGAAAAATTAATTCAGACTAATGTTTGCATAAAAAGAGAAAACAAACTTAATTATTTAATATATTACACTACCAATTTGTTTGTTTGTTTGTTTTTTTTTTTCTTCCAAAGTAGACAGCCATCTCAAAATTCATAATATAATTTAGTTGTAAAAACACACCAAATAATGGAGGGACTACTTTTTCAGGAGTTATGCTGCAAAACAACCAAACAGGGGCATGAACATTCCGAGTGGGGTAATTTAAAGTGTTAAGTTATTTAATCTCTGTTATGTACAGTTAAGTGGCTCGAGATATTGATCTCAATAAAGCACTGTCTAGGATGTGAAGCCTTGATCAGAGCATTCCAAATCCTTTAGAATAGTTGATAGCTTTTAAAAGTCTCTCTTCTAATTTTTCTTTTGTACCATACTCTGGAAGTAGCAAAACATTGAAACATGTATGAGCTGTAGGCAACCTAAAAAGGGAAAAAGTACTCAGTATTATTGATCTAAATGAATAATCAATATTAATTTTTAAAATGAGTCAAAATTGTATCTCTCCAAAATACAATCAATGTTTTCAGAACACAAGTTTAACTCTTTAAAACCCAAAGCCTTCACTAACCTGTATGTTAAAATACCAAACCGTCCGAAATGGTTTTCGAGAATCACAGCAATTTCCTCCCCTCCCCATCCATTAACACAGAAAGAAGAGTGAAGATTTCAAATGACATCCTTTCTACTTCTAACAAATAAAGATAAGACACCACACAAAAAAATCCTTCTAGGATAAGCTGTCTGCAATAAACTGATACAATGCAATTGGGGAAACTGCATCTGCTACTGCATACCTTAAGGAAGGGAAGAAAACAACATCGGAATTTCGGACATTTGGGGTGGTTTTGGTCGTTTGAATGAAGGGTCGTCTAGGCCAATATGGTCTTCAAAGAGTTAATCACTTTGACTATCTTACCATGAATATTTAACTTATTATACTTGTATATAACTTTATACAGTTCTAGTTAATTTACTTGGCCTGTGTTACTAGAACTTTATAGTGGCACCTGAACTAAAAGGTGATGGATGATGATGGTGATTTTTCTTCACTATCATCCACTACCAAGATTTGACCATAATCCCCACTTGCCCTTTAAAAGAAGGTGTATATAACATATTTTTCCCTCCTTTCTGCATGCTTTCATGGTGTAATGGTAGCTCACTTGGCATGTATTTGAGAGGTCTAGGTTCGAGTCCCGACGAGGTCATTGCTTCTTTCTTCATGTCTCTTGCTTCAAAATAACCTAGACTCTACAACTTTAAGTACATCAATGATGCTAATAATGCATGCAGCTCATCAAATTAAAGTACACACTTAAATGAATTAAAGTAAAGAATATATTTAGTAAGTGGTCCTTAACAAACAGCCATGATACAGAAATATCAAAAGCCTTAAATTATTTCATTCACCTCAATAAATTAATGCATTCACCAGCTTTTATCAAATTATGTATCAGTGCTATGAAAAGAAAGTGGGCAGTTTTCTTATGAATGAACTACTGCATACTGATTACAAAGGAAAATCAAAGTGAACAGAAAAATTGATAACATTTCGAATAACAGCTTTATCAATATTGATTCTTTTACATAAGTACTGATGAAGCATGATATTACTTCAAGAATTCAATTCACAATGTTCAGTATCATATCATTCACTAGAATAAACACAGAGATTTTATACAATAATATATCAGTAAGGTTCCATCTCTTTCATTGTAGCTGTTTTGAAGTCATTTAAAAAAGGCGAGGGCGGTTTTTGAAAAAAAAAAAAAAAAACGGCTTGATACCTTAAGTCATAAAATTTGCACAAATGTATTTCTTTACAAGGTACATGTTTTGCTGATAATACGAACAGGTTTCCTTATTCCAGTTTACCTATTCACCCAGCGAAGATCATACGAAAACTACTTAATTTGAATGCAGATCATATGATACCACATCATTTCTGCTTATTGTATGTCAAAGCTTTCTCTTCATCACATTATAACTTGTACATATAAATACTGAATTAGGATGCTTCCACTTCATCCTTCTTTCAGTTGCAAAATTGCACAGATTCTCCAGAAGTTCAATTTACAAGTCATTTTCTCACCTATCAATAAAATTCATGGTTTGATTATTATGGATTCCATTTCTGACTTTAATTCTTGGGGAACTTACAGCAAATTGTCAGTGTGGTTTGAGATATATCCAGCAAACTAAAAGAGAGTTAAAGTGTTGTATCAAAGAACATGAATCTTACTTATGCAAGAAAAGACGAAATTAACAAGCTTTTGATAGCTAATCATAATTAGAAATTTAATCATAACTTTATCTTTGGGTCTGAAAAAATTATTCAAAATATTTCTTCAGTTGGCAAATTGTATTTTTTTTAAAGCTCTTCGCATTCACAAATGTTATTTTTTTAGATTTTCGCATTTTAAAATTCGGCATCTTTTTTTTGAGCGATAATAACGCCGAATGTGGTTTATGGATTTTTTGTTATAGTGAATTGCCACAGCTATTTTTAACCTCAAATTTCAAATAAAATTTTATGGAGAATTAATTATATGAAATTTTTTCCCTCAATGATATGTAATAAATATTTATTAATACTATATGAAAAGCTATTTTTTAAATTATATTAAATTATATTTTATATATATAAATAAATATTTTAATATATTAAAATATTGAAATTCTCTCTTTCTTCCTTTTTTTAAAAAATATTTATTTGTAAGAGTAAATTTTTATCTTTGGCATTGTATCGTCTGCTAACTTTGCTTAAATCGAATTGTCTAACACTGAAAACTTTCGTTTGATATTTATTTGAATTTTATGAATATATTTTATGACATTAACTGCATAATTTTATTTCTAAACAAGCTGTTGCTCATGAAGTGGCTGAAAGAGCGGCTGATACTATCATCCATATTTTTAAAGCGCAGTATATTTTTATAGAAACATAAGATTTAAAACAATCATTTTTATATAAAAGTCAAATTATGATATAAACAGACAACTCTCTAGAGATCTAATTAATGGAAGTTCAATGGTTATGTAGAAATTATCTGCAGCTACTTAATGGCTGGATAAGTCAGCAGGTTCTGTGGAAAAGTAAGAATAATTATATAAACGACACCCAACATTCTGGTTTCAATTAACAACGAGGGTACAATGTTTATTAAATGAATTTAAGAAGTTTTTAAACATAAAAAATCAACTCATTTTTTTATCCTAAAATGTATTTTTACACGTAACGTTATTTTCATTATATCCTTAAAATTCTAATTTAGAATGTAATTGTCAAGAACTGAATTCAAATCATCAGTAATATAAAAAGTAATTATTACGGTTATTAATGCAGTCAGAAATCGTTAATCCGGACACCCATAATCCGGAATGATCTATAATCCGGACCTAAAAGCTACTAACTTTCTGCGCACTTTTACGCATACACATATGCATGTGCCCATAAAACGTTTACGCATGCACGTTTAATGTATAACGGACGGTATAAGCTAAGCTAAAATTATCTAATTATCTATTTCAGTTAATGTTGCAGATTGCGTTGTTCCTTAATCTTCGAATTGGATACGGCTTATTATTTTTTGAAGACTGTTAGAGCAATTTTATAAAGGTAAGCTTGAACTTTCAATTATGTCAAAAAGAATTTCAGATTCTGGAGATGCCAAAGGATCTACAAAGCGAAAGCATGTTTCGATGGCCATCAAACTAAAAAGTGGAATTGCTGCAAAAAATGGATAAAGGCATATCCTTTGTTTCTCTAACCCCATTCTGAAATCTGTTTATCAATTTAACGCTGCTCTGCTGGGGGGAGGGAAGACGCGGCACGCAATAAACTGGAAGTTGATCTGTCAGCACTATCCTTATCTTCAGGGCAGACGCTTTTATTTTATTCACCTTATAATTCCTTACTAAATGTAGTATTTCATCTCGATATATTCCGTCTTTGATATGATTTAAATCAAATTCATCGTCATTATAAATATCACGAGTACACATCAAATAGTTTTCTGGTTGCAATTTTCTAATTTCGACTATGCATAATGTATGCTTTACAGATCGCTAATTTGTAATTTTTGAAGACTGAATTCGGCCCCAAAACATGAAGATACTGATTCAAAACGCTTTCAATCGATTTGGGCCAAATAAATCCCTCATGTTATATACCTAGTTCCATTGGTGTGGAATGACAGCTAGTTTCAAAACTGAACCATTTTTCTCTGAAGAGCAGTCGACAGCTGGACCACTGTGATTACAGCTCGCTTAGAGTCAATGTTACAATGTTTTGTTACACATGAACTGCAGTAATGTGGCATTTTAGATACTACGATTTTTATGCAGGGCTGGGTCTCACCTCACGTGTGTCGCACAGTTTACTTAGGCAACATTTCACGAATGAACGTCTTATAGGTCGACACTTTCCCTCTTCCCACCAGACCTACCTCAACCACTGTGACTTTTGGCTATGAGATTATCTCAAAAGCACTGTTTATGGTGATAATCTAAACAATTTGGCAGAAATGAAAAATGTGATACATCGACATGCCCGTAACATTCCTCCTGATGTGCTAAGAGCTGCTGATGAGAATGCAGTAACAGGATTTAACTTGCTTTCGGAAAATGCTGGACGCTACATTGAACATGCTTTGTTACACGTTTCGAAAACGAAACACATTCCATATCCGTTAAGTTCTTTTGCATTATGTCATCTTAATATAAATCAAGAATTAAACTGCATTATTATAATTATTTCGTATGTACTTGTACTATTTATTAAAATTTACATCATTACTACATTGCTGCTTCATTTACTATTAAGAGTGCAAGTCTAATTAACATTTATTGTTTGTCATTCAAATTATTATTCTACATGTAATATTTCAATCCATTTCTTTATCAGTGTCACTACTAATGCTTTCGCAAGTATGTAGGTAAAAAGGTTACCAAACTTCTCTTTACTTATGTCCCTCAGCAACATGTTATCCTCTGTTCCATCAAGAACATTCATCAAGTAGCACTTTCTTGAATGATCTATAGAGTAGATCCCTTAGGGATCTCGATCACTGAATGTTGAAAATCCTTTAAGTAGCGACACAGGCATTTACTTTTTAATTTTGCTTGTAAGTATCAATATATCATTCTCTGAAGCTAGGAAAACCTTCATACCACTCACGCACTGATACATATGATCTTGGATGGTTTGATGACCGTACATGCACTGATACACATAACTTTGAATGATTTGATTATAGATACATCGAGAGATTGACTTGCCATTCTTCCTGGAATAATCACAAGTCTCATTGCCTAGAAGACAAAATTCCTTTCTCTTCAATGTTTTTGCAATATATGACCCCTGAACAAATTCAAAACTAGAATGCTAGGCTGGCTCAGAAAACCTCTACTTTTTTTTTATTTTATTATTATTATTATTTAGGTCAATAGATTAAGAACTTTTCAGTTTCATATTTTAATCTAAAACTAGCATGTTGGATTTGTTAAAAAAAACTCTAGGTTGAGTTTTAGTATGCAGTTCACCCAACCGTAAAAAAATTTTTGGGTAACCCACACATTTTCTTACGTTTTGAGAAAATTCCATTTTTCAGCACAGTTTTTCCATTCATTTATCAGCTATACAGAGTACAATTTAAACCCTATAAAGACCGTATGAACAGCTTTCCCTTCTTTTCTGTTTGTACTTCACTTCTGAAAACAGACCACTTCTTTATTTTATTACATTGCAAGTGCAACCAAAAAGGATTATGTGTTTCCTCTTTTTTTCCTATAGTTGTCATAACAATTGGTGTTCAATTTCAGCAACTCTACAGTATGTTAGAAGATAACTTTCTGGCAGCTAAGATGTATGCTTTATTTAACAGAATATTTGTAATCTTATATCTGCAGCACCTATAAACACTAATCAAAATTGTATCTAGTTAACATTTAGTACATCAGTAACATGACAAATAAAAAATTTCTTCTTTGAAATAAATAAACATTTTGTTATATTTTAAACTAATAATATACAGCAACACTATACATATTCTGTATGAAATGTAGTTGAATCTTAAGCTGCACCATAATTTCCATCCATCTAATATCTCACAAAAGATGTGCCTTGCATTTGAAAAAACTGATACCTGTTTTCCTTAATTAAATAAGGGCAAAAATATATTTCTAATTATCTATATAAACATATAAAATTTTAAAAACTTTGTATGAACATGCACCTCCAAATTCATCATATTTTTCACACTGCATTTCATACACTTTTGATTTGTTTCACAAATAGCAATTTCTTGCAAATGTTTTTATAAGCTGCACTCATCAAGCCAGACATATATAACAAGCAATTCCGGTAAAACAAATATCACACGTATACATATCTTACCTGTCTGAATCTGGACCATGCCGAGCTATGACTAATTTGAGCTTGCTGAGCCCACCAACAGGAACCCTGTCACTACCTGTAGTAAATTGAAGAAGTTTTCTTTTCTGCTCTAGGCTAAATTCGTGAACTAATTCCCAAAACCATCTAGATAATTGAAAAATATTAATAAAATGTATATGACCATAATACTACTACACATTTAACTGACAGAAATTTTTTCCTTTTAAACAATAATAATAAAAAGATTTTTACCTAATTATGGGAGTATCAGATAGATAGCCTCCATCATATTCTGTAGCTTCTTCAAGGGCATTAAAATCAAAATTCTAAATTGTGAAATTACATCCAATTAATATAATCCATACATAATAAAACAAGAGAGTAACAAGAATTTCATATTGCACGGATTTCTAAATGTCAGCAATATATTTTTGCTGTTAGTGAATAAACTAATTATAGTTGCATACAAATCCATATCATAATTTGGTACTATTCCGTTAGAGCGGCATCAGTTAAAAATGTGTCCTTTTTTTGGCACCAATTGTTGTCCAGTATAAAATTATGAATAACAATATTCAAAAGACTAAAAAAAGATTACTTCTGTAAAAAGAAAATTGTTTCTAATTTCATAATTCTTGAAAGTAAATTTTTCTTTTTAATTTTTTAATCTAGAGTGTTCGACACATAAATAGAAAATAACAAAACGAAATTTAATTTAAACATGAGGCATAAAATGACAAATATCATTCAATATTATAGAAAAAAATTCAGTTTTTGTATATAACAGACACCACATAAATTCAACCATATATGACTCTAAGTGGTGGCGAGCAGTGCCCCAGTGAAATTTATTTCTCCAATTAGCACTGCCCCACAATCGCTCCACAGTTTGGGTCCAACAACCAGTTTCAAGGTCTACAAAACTATAACTGTGATTTGCAGCAAAAAGTTCATTTCTTAATTCCTCTTTCTTATATCCTTTCTAGCAGTCTGAAAATATTATACTGCCATCTGCAATGTTTTCCTGGATGGCAGCCTTCAATGTTGTAGCACAAGGATTGGGAACGGTAACCAAAAAACACCTTTGCTTTCCAAGCATAAACCCTCAAATACCCATTGTTCTAGAAGAACATATCCAATGTTGTTTTTTCTTTTTGTGAAAAAACTTCCTCTGTTTCTACGATTTTGTTGGCGCCATGAATTTTATTTCTTTTACAAGACATCAAACTATTTGCAGACACCTCCCTCAAGCAGTTATTTCAATCTGTTACGTAGAAGGAGAAAAAAAAAAAATAAAAAAAAAAAAAAAAAACCTACTAAAACTAAACTAAACTCAGTACATACATAATCAAAACTTTTAAATCTAAGAGACATCAAAGAAAGATATCCATCCTCCCTGGTGTTTTGGTAGAAACACGATTATTTATCAAACCCAAAATTCGAAAAATGGCATTTCCACAACAAAATCTTTAACACACTATCTCTCACTAAATTAAAACTAATTTAGATCTCCAACCTGGAAACACATAAATTTCAATACAAAATCTAGAGATAGCCTTAAACCCTTAACACTTCAAATAACACTCAGATCTCTTTAAAACACCAGGGAAAGATACAATCTCACTATTGAGAAGTCTGCTCATCAAATCAAAATAAAATCAGTAAACCGATCGTATAGTCACCATCACTAAAACTGTTTTTCTACTACCGCAATATGAATACCCAGGTTCGAATAAAGTAACCATGTTTCCGTAAGGAACCACATGGGTGACCTAAAGTAGACCACAATTACTACACGAAAGAAACATACAATAATAAAAATAATAAACACATTTATTGAACATTCCCACACATTATAATTTAAGATAGCTGGCCAGACTACCCCTACAAAATCTTTTAAAGTTATTCATAGTTTTTTTTTTCATATCAATCTCATATTTAACATTAATCCATTAATACAAAAATCATAGTGAAACACGTCACAGTTCTTAATCATTTTAAACAGGAACTCAAGAAGATTAAACTCATTTAAAAAAGCTAATTTAGAATAAATCATATTTCTTCAACTGTAACACATCAGTATGTTCATCCTCGGTCAAATGAAATTACATGAACATAGCACTTAAATATTAAAACAAAGATTCACTTCCTCCAAATTGGTTCAATTAACTTCTGACTATTAAACAGTAATAAAAAACTACCTTCTCGGCTAGAAATTTAGTAACTGCAAATTTCAATTTTTATCTACTTAACATGACAGCTCTTGCTTTAGTATTAAACATTTCCAAATTTAAAAGATTAATTATCAAAAGGAAAACACCAATCAAAATATAAAGTCACTCACGAAATCCGCATACTGATCTGAGAGACACAGGGAGCTGCCCGGATCCAGCCACAAATTGCCAAAACAATAACTGCCAATCTTCATCGTTGTTTTCCGGAACCAGACTTTTTTCATAGTTCCAGCACTAACCTCCGTCAAGCAGCATTTGAACTCAATCAACTTCCCGATTTCGAAGCTCCACTGAAGATAAGAGAAGGAGGTCGAAACTGGAGACAACAGACCATGACAAACCTCAGGAGATGACGACTTTCCATATTTCCCCAAGCAAAATAGAACTCCAGCATGAGCAGTTCAGACTCTTACACAATTGGGAAAAAACATCAGTGACAAAATTGAAATTAATAGGCCGCAGGACAGGAATTGCCGCCATCAAAACGACGGCACCTGCACTCCTTCGGACAGAACTCCGTAACCAGAAACTCGGAATTAAACAACTTAACTGTAAACCGTGGTCAACCCCCGAAGAAACGTCATGTCTTTCCTCCGCTCCATCCCAGCACCTCACTGACAGCGGCCGCCGTCAAAGAAGCAAACCCGCTAAGGCTAAAAAAAAAAAAAAAAAAAAAAAATTTCTGCTAAAAGGTCTCTTTTAGTCTAAAATCTCCTCCACCCTGCATTGCGTGCAACAGCTTAAGAAAACTCTGTTTACACTCACAAAGAAACGCCTCAAAATCACTATTGGCTCAAACAACACTAAAATTAAATTCAACCAATCTTAATGAAATTTGGACTCCCTCTCACCAACTAGAAAAAAAGGATAATAAATCGCCTCTGAAATTCTCAGAAATTCAGAACTTTCTACAAGTAACCAGAAACTCGGAATTAAACAGCTTAACTGTAAAACCCACGCAACAGAAGAATAATTATACACAACAAAAAATACAGAATTTTCCATAACAAATCTACTGGTTGATTTCTAACTGAAGATGGCAAAATTCAATTGATGTCAATTCCTGATACCACAGATAGATAAATCGAACAGCACTGAGGAAAGAAAGATGCAAGCCTACAAACCATGTTTTAGGTCTCAATCCTTCATTTTTCCAAAGCAAGAACATTCGTAACAACACCATATAGGAGCTCTGCTCGAGTCAAAAGTTAATTTCATCGGATGATTTTGAGAACACAGTCATTGCTATGAATTATTACTTTGTCCTTAGGAATCTTTATGGCAGCCTCTTCGTCATTAGGCAACTTCCAAATTATGTAGTCGATCATACTAAAAAAATGGCGAAATATGGCCAAAAAAAGTGTGATGATATTTCAGACGAAACCAGGAAATCTCGAGACACGATATTTGGCGTGTTGTTGTAGCACTGTTTACTTTTCATTTTTAACTGACGCTGCTCTAATGGAGTAGTACCCATAATTTAAACATATAAATATCGAAAAAGATCACGCAACATATAAAACTCCCTCTACTTTTTTTAATTTCAACTTTGCTAAAATTAAATGTAAATAACATAACTGTAAAAGAAAATGATTTAGCTATACAGTAGAAAGCCCGTAATCCGGACTCGTCGGGACTTCGGCGATTCCAGATTATAGATCATCAATTTCAATCTGGTAAGATGACATGCAGAAATGACACAATTAAAAATATGAAATCGTAATTTATGAAATAAAGAACAATTATGATCTAAAGGGTATCAAAATTTACAAAAAGAAAAAGCTTAATATTTATTTGTTTACTTTATTAAACATTTCCTTCAATGTATGTTGTTTAAGATGTTTGCACAAAAAATTCAAAAAAGTTCCTTTTTCTTGTGTCATATACAGTGGACTTTCCAATGACCTCACGTAATTTTGAGACGGATAGGCCTTTATCCATTTTTTGCAGCAATTCCACTTTTTGTTTAATGGATATCGAAACATGCTTTCGCTTTGTAGATCCTTTGGCAGCTCCAGAATTGGAAACTCTTTTTGACATAATTGAAAGGTCAAGCTTAATTTTTATAAATTGTTCTAACAGTCTGCAAAAAATAATAAGCCGGATCCAATTAGAAGATTAAGGAACAGCGCAATCTGCAACATTAACTGAAATGCCTTTGATAATTTTAGCCTAGCTTATACCGTCCATTATACATTAAATGCCCATGTGCATAAAGTTTGTAGCTTTGAGGTCCGGATTACAGACTTTGTACTGTACTTAGGATACAGCAGTTTAGGATAAAGATTTTTAACAAAAAATCAACTCAGTGTAATAAAAATTGCATGTTAAAATGTGTTGTTGACTTCAATCTCAATTCAAATAACATAAATCCAATAATTTAGTTAAAACTTTGCATTTTTATTATATCTCAATCACAGCTACCAAATATATCACATACCTTGCTTCCACATACAAGTAATTCTATTTCCTCTGGTCTGAACAGCACTTTCAAGGGGCTATCATCTGTCACCATCTGAAAGCCTCTTTTGAAAGCCCGAAACTGCTTAGCTATGGATTTATTTAACAGAAAGTCTGCATATAAATGGACAAATTCCTAAATGAAGCAAGTTAAAATTTTTAACAAATGAATAGGCAGAACAATAAAAATTACAAACCACTATAACAAGACTTCAGACTGATGATTACTACTCACATCTTTGCTGTTCTGATTGACTAATATTTTATCACCATTATCTTTTAAATCGTGAACTAACACTGTTCCAAAAACATCTTTATAAGTAATACGAAATGCTTGCAAGAAAACATTCTCCATGTCATCCTCTGTGTAGGACAACATATCCTGTAATCCTTTACAAAGACTCTGAAAATATTAATGAATTATAAATATACAGCAAATATACAGAAATATACAGAAATAATATAAATATACAGAAAAACGAATGTAAATTACATATTTTAAAAATTGCCTGCAAAAATATTCAAATAAACGTTCTTTCCTGTCAGTTCAACTGTTCCAACAATAAATACAAAGACACTCCAGCAAAGATCTGAATTACTCTTTTGCAGATAAAAAAAGCCAAGCCTATTTTGTATTTTTACAATTCACTTCACAATTCAAGTTTATAAAAAATAATGAATATATTCCAATACTGAACATATTCCACTCTCACATATCTGTCAGTTTTGGATGAACAACTGTTTCAAACAACTTTTCTGCTATATATATATCACTGAAAGAAAGATGTAGGATTTCCCCCCCCCTTCACAAAAAAAGTTGCAGATTATATATTTTCACCCAATCAGCCTCAAAATAAAAAAACTTGAATGGAAGTTCTCTTTTGGTAGTCTGTGCCTATAATGGAAAATCAGTCTTCCCTTTGGCAAGGTTATTCCAAAGTAATTCATGGGGAGCGGTTGTTTTATATCACATGACAACGCAGAAAAATCACATTCTACAGTTGTTCTTTGGAAACATTTTGAGTATGTGATACAACCTTCAAACTTACCTTACTTTATCAGTTTTAAGCAATTCCCTATTTTATGCAGCTAATATTTCATACTATGTATTGGCTCGTGTAAAAGAATTTTGAAACTACATCTGTAAAAAAGGAGTGGGGAGGAATACAGAACAAAATGAAATTAAAACAAATTTTACTTATTTTAGTTAAAAAGGAATTATTTAAGTAAAAAATTTGTTATTACGTGTTTGCAAAGTAATTTCTTATCCTTTTAACTGGCCAAGGGAATTTGAAACTTTAAATGTCCCAAAACTGACAACAAAAATCTTGATTATCATAGCAAAATGCCCTGGTTTTTCTTTATACCTGGTTTCTTTTTGATATCCTGTTTTATTTCTTTAATATATTTCAAAATACATATATATGCTTAGAATACTCTTTGTAATGCTTTTTAGCATAGCCATTTAGGCCATTCAGTAGGCCACTTGGCCTAGCCATTTAGGAACTTAAATAAAATTGCTTTTGATATCAAGCAATATAACCTTCTTATAAAATTATAACCATCTTTTATTGCTTTCAAAGCAAAGAAAAATTACAATTACAGTAATATCCACTTTATATGTATTCACTTTAGGCAAACACTTGTTTACATGAACAAAACTTTGGTCCTAGCAGCAATATATATGATCTCATATGAAGTTTTATTGCTTAACGCGATTTTTGGTTAACACAAATTGGTTTTTCAGTCCTGCTGCACAATTAGATTTTTCCATTTAATACAATTTTTCAAAGTTTTTCATATTTTTTCCCCGTTGTTTCTTTACTTCTTCCCTAAAATTCAATATGGCATGGCATACTAAAAGTCCATTTAAAATTTAAATGAATTCTATTTAAAGTAAAATACTTACATAGATGTAGTGGACTGCAGTTCATTTACATATGAATTTTCAGTGTATTCAAACATGCTTTATTCTCCAAATATTTTAGTGACACTGTTAGACAGTCCTGTATATGGCACTCTGGTAGCTTTCAGGACAGAACAACTAATGTTAAGTTGCAAGCAGTAAGAAAGTGAGTCATAGGCAAGAGGAAGCAGTCTGGCAAATATTTCCAAGCTAAAAATCCCACAAGAACTAGACCGTGATGTATCCAAGAAAAGTACAACGATCGAAAAGTATTAAACTGCTAAATCTACCATATGCACATTACTTAAAGACCCTGAAAAAATTCTTAATGCTCCTGTATCAGGTTGCAGAAACAAACCTAAGCGACTATGCGGTGCTTAGCAATATGTCGCAACTTTGCTTCTAGAAAGGTTCAATTACAAGTGCTTCCAATGTACCTGAAAGTGACCCTATAATTCACTCAAATGCAAAATAGATTCCAAAAAATTTAGACATTCAAGATTTCAATTGTTCTGTTGGTTGGCTGTGCCAGTTCCAAAAGAGACATTCGATTTCATCAGTGGTGATGCATAATGAAGCAATAAAGTTCATAAAGAAAGAGTAAACAATTGGTTGCATGAATTTGACCAAGTGAAAGAAAAGTATGCCTTATGTGATGCTACAATAAAGATGAAATTTGGAGTTATTTATTACTTTTTTTAAGTTGTACCCTCAGAATAAAGGGTGACAAGCCCCATGGTGGAGCACGCAGTAAACAATGTTTAACTATTGTCCTTGTGTGTAATGCAGAAGGCAGTGGTAAACACCATCCTTGGGTGATCAGCAAGCCTGAGAAACTAAATTTTAAGAATATAAACAGTACCTTACCTTACATTCTTCTTATGATACTGGGCAGGTATACAAACCATAAATAACATACACCATCTGAACTTAACCAATGTAAAGATACATCCCATCTACACAAATGCAATAAGTCATCTTCAGTCTTTGGATCAAGGCATTATTGCAGTTATGAAGCGATCGTATAACAAGCAGTTTGTGCTCCAGAAAAGGGAGACAGTCACACCAACCCCTTAACTGCAGCAGGCGTATATATACGCCTTGCTCAACCGATGCTTTAACTGCCCCGGGTGTATATATACACCCTTCCAAAATGCTATCATTTGTTTTGTGCTGCTACTAGTAAAATTATTCGCAAAGCTTTGGGCTGTATCACCACAATGACCTTGACTGTATATGCAAAGGAGGATACTATTTCAGAGAAGAAAGGGAGGTGGAAGAATTGGAGGTGGGATGTTTCCTAAATGGTAAAAGTAATGACTGTGTGGTTATTGGTCTTGTTTCTGTTTGAGTTAAACATATTTTTTTTTTAATTCTGTGCCTTCAGTTTTTGTTTACTTCGTTACCACCATTCATAATAAGTGCTTTTTTTTAGGAATATGTCTGAGAGTGATGATTAATGACTTCGCAGTCACTGCTCGTGTTTCTGTTTGAGTAAAACGTATTTTTTTTATTCCGTTTTCATTTACTGTTTGTAGCAGGCAATTTTTTTTTTTTTTTTAACGAATATGAAATATATAACTTTCCATCATCTTTACAATCAAACACCTTAGAATATGATATTACGTCAAATGAAGAGGATTGCAACTATTCTCCAAAAGATGCTCGACATTGGATATGACTTGATACAAAAAACTTCCCTCCACACTTTCCACTTAATTTACTGGTTTTACAAGGTATAACGTTGAAACCTGATATTACACTTCACTGGTCTAAAAATAAATTGATCAAAACTCCTTTTTTGGAGATCTTTTTTATTACACAAACATCATTTTTATTATATTTACATCTTTTTTTTTTTTTTTTTTTTTTTTTTACTTTTACTCTAAACATTACATTTTGTTATTTCAATTTTTCTTTTATTCTTTATTTTGTGAAAGTAAACAGTTTTTAGATAGCAAAACTTGCACTTATTTTCCCCCTAATACATTGCATAACTATGCTCGCATGTGTAAAAACTGGTGGCACTGGGGAGTGAATCTTGTATGTTTTTCATGGCAGTTAAGGAGTTAATGTAATAAAAGCAATCACTACACCCAGCGTATACATGTCAACACATAGAGAATTAATTATTTTAGCAGAGGGTGGAGACAAAGATACTAATCCTGCTGATGAGTTAGAACAAGGATATCATATCACCTGACAAATGGAATAGTCTACAAGACATTGTGATTAGTTTTGAGGTTTATGTTAGTGCAGATAACGATGCTGTAATGTGTGCTCCAGTGGAATTCGTTGTGCAAGCAATTGTGTTTATTGTGCTAGAAATGTCAAGGAGGACAATATCATTCTGCCCATCCGCCAGGAAATATTACACATCCTGAACTATGTAGAATGTTTTGCTGCAACATCTGAATTGACCGCTAGTTTTATAGAAGCTATGAGTACAGATAGCCATGAAATTACCAGGCATTATCATACCTGTCTACTACAATGAAGGAATTGTTTCAAAAAAAAAAAAAAAAAAAAAAAAAAAAAAAACACCTCTGAGTGCATTTTTTTTCAAGTTACAATACAGTAATTAATGTAGAACTGTTGTGTTGTCTATGACAACAAACAAAAAATTATGTGTGGCTGCATCTTTTTCAGTTACAATACAGTAATTGATGTAGTACTGTTGTGTTCTCCATGACAACAAACAAAATATATTGTAAGACTTGCATAACTATATAGTGTAAATGGTTAACTGAAAAGATTAACATTGACTTTTTAGTAAAATGCTAAATCTACTTTTGTTAATACGTAATTGGTAGGCTGATTCGGAATAAAAGCATCTACAGGTCGTCTACCTTTACAAGATGTGGCTTTGAACATCATTTTCTCAAACTGATTTTCACATTGCATGTGGAGAAGGAACTCTGAAACAGTGACCAGATAAAATCCTACTGTACTAAAGCATACATGACTATAGAAACAAACAAACCCACTGTGATAACAGCCCAAGTGACATATGAAAAAGCATGCAGAAAAATATCCACACAGATAAAAGCTCACATCATTTTCATCAATATTAAAATGTATTTATGGATGCTATGATAAACAGAATATTTCAGTCTAATTTTTGATGTCTCAAAATTATAATGTTCTATGTCTAAAATTATGTTACGTGTTTATATATAATAATTATAGAAATTTTTTATAACAAAAGTATCCCAAATCAGTTCTGTGCAAAATGCTGCTGAAATATTCATTAATTATAGACAAAAAGTAATAATTTAGAACCAAAACAACAAAGATATGTATAATAACCAGTATAATACCAAAACCTCAAAATAAGCATGTAAAATGACCTTATAAACTCAGTGTATTTAAACCAGAAGAAAACCTGAAAACAACAGAAATACATAAAATAGAAAAGGAAGAGGCACAAAATCAAAAGTCGATTCAGCAATTATCAAGAGGCCAATCAGATTCCAATTAAATCAACTTCTTAGGAA